CAGTCAGTAACAACGTAGAACTTTGTACGTACGTACATCAGTTCGAGTTGCTATACCACATTAGCACACAGATACAATTGTCGATTCTAATCCCGTAGTGGTAGAATTAGTAAGAGTATAATCAGTAATCGGAAAGATTAGGATTTGAAGATGTTATTCAAGTGGTATAATCCGGTGAAATAAATTTGTAAAGAGAAAAAAAGGTACATGAAGAATTCAGAAGATTGAAATTCGGAAGAACACAAAGAGTGGGTGCACCTGCGCCATTGCAAATGATTTTCAGCGATGTCATTCAAGGTCTCTAACCATCGGTTGCTATCATCTCGGGGATCCCAAACAAGTAGTCTAAATCTACTAACATGACTCAGTCCACTTGTTAGTGACTTCATGGATTTGTGCCTTGTTTTTGATCTGGCCACCACTAGCTTTCTTCTAACCTAATTCTACACCATCATACATCGGTCCCTTATACATTAATCTAAGTCTAATGTTTGCGTAAATAATTTCTGATATTCAAAGACAAAAAATTTAAAGAATAAACCTAAACAAAGTCCCAATGAATTTTTATTATTAAATTTAAATCAGTAAGAATCTAATTTAAAAATAATATCTTAGTTATAATTTTTATTCATTCTATCACATTGGTTACTATAGAAATAGAAGGGGTTAAATTTTCCTTTTTACCATTTCTTACTTATCTCATATATATATATATATATATATATATATATATATATATTAAATAGATCGGTTATTCAATAAATATTTTTTTTAAAAATAGAAATGTACTTGTTTTATCACATAATTAAATCCTGACCTTGACTTTTAAAAAGAAAAGAAATTCTTACAAGAATAAAAGTAAATCAAAAAATTTAAATCTGATTGAAGCGCTAAAATCAATTGTATTTATTAAAACAATAATATTATGTATTGAATGTAAAAATATTTCAGGAAGTAAAAGAAAAACAACACTTTTTTTCTATAAATTCCTTGGTATTTTAGTTTGTATTTATACTTTCTTTTTTTAAAAAATGAGCTGATTCTTGATTTTGATAAGTTTTTATTAAAGAAACAATTCCAAGTCGTCAAAACCCATCTAAAATTGTAATTCATACAATAAAACAGAAAACCGAAATGTTTGAAAATTCTTTTTAAATTATCAGAATATTGAGACAATGAACTATCAATAAATATGGAATTAGTATCAGGAGGGATTTTTTTGGATATTATAGTAATTTCAAAAGTTGAGATCATGAATCAATTAAAGCTAGACCACCATAGAAACCCTGAAAGCACTAGACGGCTATTTAGTTATAGCGTGAGACTCCTCAGCTGTGAGCATCCATGATCATACCTTGTGAGATTCGAACCCAGGACCTGTCAGTAGCTGAGTAGATAATGCGATGGTGTTTGAAGCAAACGGTACTGAGTTCGAGTCTCAGAGTGAACATCAACTCTGAAATGCAGGTACATCTAGCTGACGAGTCACAAATAAGACGAAACGCGCGTCCTGGATTCCACTGCTAGCCACTATCCATCTTTGCTTATAATGCTTGTGACTTAAGGCACTATCAAGGCAATCCGCACAAGATGTATATATGCCTATAAGAGACTGATCGATTGCAGTCCTAAACATCAATGGAAAGATTCAAACAAACAATACAAAAATGAATTAGGTATATTATTATCATTATTACTATTTTTATTTCATTAATCATGCTATAATTAGAAATTCTGCCACTTTTCACTTACTATTTTTCATAAATATTCTGTTTTTCATCAGCAGTACATTTGACATAAGTGTTCAGTTATATATAGACATAACTGATATATGAAAATAAATATGTTCTACAGCACAGCATGATTTATTGGATTAACTCGGAATGGATGATAGAACATTTTAGTACATGTATATGTGTAAGTGAACCCAGTCAATTAATTAAATTTGAGTTCAGTTACGAAAACAACCGCATGCCTCAACTGAAATTATGAAAATCTTTACTACTTGCAACCATACTCTACATTACATTTTCATCCACTAATTATATTCCTAAAGTAAGCAATTAAAACTATTCGTTTATATTAAATACAGGGAATGGTAACATTTGTGGTTTACGGTATGGTGTATGAACTAGTAAACGATTACTTGAATACAAATATCATTATAATGAAAGTACCATTAATTCATACCGGATATTTCTATGCTGAAAAATACCAACAAAATGTTAAACACTTAATTAGGATTGTAGATATACACTGCTAAAGAAGTCCAGCTAGAGAAATGTAACTGCCCAGTACTCCTGAGCTACTATCCAAAATGCTTTTCATAATGTGAGTTTTCCTTTAATTCATAAAAATTATAATATAGAGCAATATAATGGTTTACACCAAGAAGCTATCTTAGTTAGAAAACCAACTTAAACTAAGAATCACTGGATTAGTTCTCGATGATTGAACAAAATCATTTCGCGATGTAAATTATGAAATGCGATATTCTCCACAAACGGCATGTTGTAAAGAATATTGTACAAAAGTCAATCTATTGATGAATGCATAAAACATTACTAGACTGTGATAATTTATGGTATAAACTCAAAAGTGATTTTGGAAAAACCTAAAACAAACATATCATAACTATGCACAACATAGTTATCAGAGAAAAAGGTTGGATTACAGAAACAATTACAAAGTAAAAACCATGATTTCTGTTGATTTTATCTAATTAAACTATTCATCATGAACCCAACAGTAATAATTAGTTATTACTATGAAAAGGGGCAATTCAAAATGATTGAAAGCATGACTGTGAAGAACCAGAAGCTTAGATGAAACGAAGTACACGTAAGTAAACGAAGCCGAAGAGACACCTTAGTTTTGAAAACATTTATTTATCACATCTTTTACCATAACTGATGTTTTGACAGAAAAGATGTTAATTTAACATCACTAAGACAATATTTTAACTAATGATAAATACTGAATAAAACGGTATAGATGAATGCAAGAAGAAGAACTGGGTAGTTATTATCGTTAAATATGAAATCAAGTTGAAAGAATACTAACTGCTAATTGTTGAACTTTAAACGAAATCGAGAAACAAATAGTTTGACCACTGGTTATCCAAATATAACTAAATTAGATTTTAAAAACAACACAATTAACAAGACTTAATAATGATTTTAGCTACTATCTGAACAATAAGTTCAAATGTAATCAAGTCAATGATATGTTTAGATCAGTTATACTATTTCCCATAGACAGAAGATAACCGAAAATTTGAGCCCTAAAATTGAGAAGTATTGGTTACTGTTGAAAGCAGCTTTTGCTTTTCTTAATTGACTGTATATGTGATCATATAGTCACTGTAATCAATTTTACTGTTGCTTCGTAAATGAAAAGTGAGTAGATCCAGAAGTAATACAATAGCTATAAACATCTTCCTTGTTGACTTCATTATTGTTTGTAACAAATTTCCTTTCAGCGAATTGTATTTAAATGTAGATAGCATTGTAAAAATCACATATATTACTTTTAATTTCAGTTATATATAAGTATATGCCAGAAAAATGAAAACAATCTATGTGCAAATGTTGAGATATTAATCTCTTATCTTTTCTTTAAAACAAACATGTAACTTAGAAGGTTCATTTTCAAATTTACTTAAATTGTCAATCCCATTTACTGAGATAACAATAATAACATTTAAATTACTACAGTTCTGAAGACAATTTGTTTTGCAGATAAAATCAAATAATCATAACTAATATAATACTCAACACCATGTCATAGAATATCACGATACGGCAAAGATTTGAAGTATCATTCATGCTTGACTCCATTCTGTTATCTGATGGGTTTTAGTGTAATCTGTGAAATAAAAGAGGACTAACAGTTTAGAATTGATAAAAACAGAATGAAACTAACCAATTTTCCGATTAGTAATAAACAAAACTTGAATTATTATAAATATTTATTAGTAAATAACATACAATTTCGGCTATTGGATTAATTAAACTTTGTGTGTTCCAGATTATCACACAGATTAGTCTATTCTTTAAATTTGAGTATTTCAATATATAATTGATGATATTTCGATATGCTCAAAATTTAATAAGATAAAATTCGTTAGGATAGCAATTATAGATTACCAACTATCTGTGTCTGGAGTTCTCTTTTTACATACAAACATTGTAAAAGCTTATAATGAATCAATGATAATGTTTTCAACTAAGTAATTATAACTGTATCTATTTCGAATATTCACGTGAATTCACTAATTTCATGTGCTCGTGCACGAGACTGATAGCTCCTTGGTTCGAATCCTGTGGAAGGCGGGATTGCGGATGCACACTGCTGACGAGTCCCATACTAGAACGGAACGACCGTCCAGTGCTTTCAGGTTTTTGATGGTGATCTAGCTTCAATTGACTCATTATTTCAACTATTGAAATTTCGAAAATCTCCACAAAACCCCTTCTGCAAATATAATTAACATTCCCTTCAATTTTCGGTCTAGTCAAAGTTAAATACTTGTAGGCAAAAATACTTATAAATAAAAATTAACGTTAAAGGTAAAATCTTATTACTGTTTTTCTAATTAGATACATATTCTTCTCCCAATGAACTTAGTAAACCGTTATTCTTGTTGACTATATTAGTGTCTATCATAAATTTTGTTGGATATAAAACTCAGACATTAGAAAAGAAATCAACTCTCGCCATTCATTTGCCAAACTTAAAATAAACTGAAATATATATTGTTAATTCTCTTGTTAAATACTACTCAAAAATAAGTTAAAACAAAATCAGAGCGCTAAATAATGTGGATGTGTACTGTTGAGGAGTCCCATATTAGGACGAAACAACCGTTCAATGCTTTCAGGTTTTCAGTGGTAATCTAGTTTAAATCAACCCATGAATTCAACTATTAACAATAAACAATGTATTAATTGGTTGACAATACAATTTATAGGAAAAATAAGATTGTAAATCATGCTTACCTGTATACCAAAACATCCTAATTGATGAGCAGCTAATTCAATTCTATTTAATGTTCTACCACAACCAGCACAGTCAACTGGTACATAAGCGCATACATGTCGGTGATTACCAAAATGTATTGATTCTACACTACCAATAGTAGTGCATCCACGTTTAGCATATTCGCAATAGATTTGTAAAGAATTTAAAAAATTCTTTAATGCAAGTACTGGTCTAGCTACTGATAATAAATTAATATTTGGTTTATCATGAAGACAATAATTATTAATATGATTATTTATATTGTTCGTTGTATTTATCACTGAATTTATAGAATTATTTTGTTGATGATTATTAATATTTAATTTTGTTCGACAAGTTGGACATGTAAATTGGAAACGTGTTCTATCATTATCACTTATTGTTAAATGATTTAAATGTTCTAATTTTGAATTTAACCATATTTTTAAACAGTTAGCACAAAATGTATGACCACATTCTGTTACTACAGGTATAATAAATACACCATGACAAATACCACAAATTAGATTTTCATCAACTGGATTTACAAATCGATCAATCGGAATACCCATATTCACATTCATTCAATAAACTTTAAATTGTAATAATAAGAATACGGAATAAGTTAAATTATGTTTTGTACTATTCACACATTACATGCATAAGTAAATTTATTATTATTATTATCATTAACAATTTATAATAGTATCTATTTTAATTACATTGTACTTATTTAGCCTTAAATGATACATTTGTTGATCAATGATTAATATTTCCTCAATATATTTACAAACCAATCAGATTAAAGTGATAAGATTTAATGAATTACTATTGGCTCATATGTCAAATGGAAGAAAACCAATATGAAAGCTTTGAAGAATGTACCAATTTTTATATATGTATGATGAGTAATGTTACATTTATATAATGAATACTGTAGATTAGTACATAGAAATGAAAAAAACCGTTTTATATAATATGATATAATAATCACAAGTTTATATTTTTGTTATTGTGAATAACCATTGTATAATGTAATAAAACATTTTGAAAACATTATTGAAAGCAACTAACTTTAACTTATATAAAAATGATCGATTTAAAAAGGAATAAACAACATTAAATTTAAATAATTACTCTTCCATACATGTTTTTTTTCAATAATATGTTAATTGTCAGTTTTGTCTCGGGTAACTGTCAATGTCCAATGTTTCACATTTCCATTTATTAATTTGATACATATGATATAATTTCAATAGTTGAGATCATGAGTCATTTGAAGTTATACTACCATGGGAAACCTGGGAGCACTGGATGGCTGTTTCGTTCTATTGTGGGACGACTCAGCAGTGCGCATCCACGATCCCACCCTCCTCGCGAGATTCAAACCCAGGACCCATCAGTCTCGCGCGCAAGCATTAAACCACTAGACCACTGGGCCGGCTGGCATCCAACGGTGTTAATGTCTAAATTCAACTAATCCACGAAATTGAGTGACACATTCACCATTGTTTTGTATGAGATACTATCTCACAACTGACCCAGTTGAACTCCATCTGTTACTGCTTCTCACTAGAACTCCAGGATATACGTCTTGAAGCTTGTCACTAGTGAGCAGATGTTGATTAATATCAGAAGTGCTTCCAGGTTATCCATGGTCGTTTAGCTTCAATTGACTCATGATCTCAACTATTGAAATTACTACAATCTTATCAAAACTCCTGATATATATGATATAGTTTTGACAAATTTAATAGTCGATTAATGCTAGACCGCCACGAAAAACCTAGGAGCACACGAAAGGCTGTTGCATCATAATATGGGAATTCTCAGTAGTGATCATTCACAATTCCTCTCTCAGGATTGGAACCCAGGACCTCCGGTCTCGCGCGTGAACACTTAACCTATTCAAATACATATTTCACATTATTATGTAACATACTGGAAGCCATGAACATTTGACTGGATTTATAAAAAACTTCACTCATGCTTTAAACCGTAAAATTTTTTCAACAAGTTCATATTTCCATTTCAACAACTTCGAATGCATCTCATTCAAGATGAGCTTTTCTAGTAACTTTTCATTTAGCGGCTTCAAATGATTTATTTAACGCTGAAACGGAAAATGTAAGAAACAATCTTCAAATATTTGTTCACATTTCCCTTAAGTAAATCATGCTTGTCAAACTTCCGATTAAATGAGTTCCATATAGTTTATCTCAAGTAGCAAAATAAAAACGCTTTTATTTTGAACGAGCTCTCAGGGGTTTAGCTACCCACAGTTAGGTCTAACTATTTACCTACACTTGCAGTACGATGTAAGTGAGAAAATGCAGCGAATTTTATATAGTAGAATTTAATCGCACATCAAGAGATGATCCTAGTTTCTCCGAAACTGTCATTACAAGATAATATCACTAAAATATATTTTATACTGTGTCCAAATACACCAACCAGAGAACAAGTGGGTCAAATAGACATATTTAATCTTCTTTAATTTAGCCTACATATTTAAGAAATGATTGTCATAGACCTTGTATTGCTGGTCTAAGTTACTTCATGCAGCTTTTTGCTATTTCATCCTTTCTTCTTCACTAATAATTTATAAAAAGTCTTTTCATCATTCAAGAGTTTTTACTTAGTTGTATATAACAATGTTATATCATTTTCATCTTATTGTTATCAAGAAACTTCTGTTTTGATAGTTTGAAGTCATAATTAATTTATAGCTTTGGATAGCTATGCATCCACGACTTCGCCACTGGAGGTCGAACCAAAAACATTATTTCTTACTTACGATCGTTTACCCTCTAGAGCCCTACGCTACCATCCAGTCATATATATATTTAACTTGAATCGATTCGCGATATTGCATGACTATTTTTTATTCTCTGACACCCAGAATAGTTGAACTCGACTGATCAAAGGTAGCGTGTGAATCGCACCTTGAAACTAGTTACTAGTGGAGATACGTTTATTATCAGTGAAGTGTTTCATAAAGATCGCAAAATTTCCATAGTCTAAATTACGTACTGACCTTAGCGCAACCAGAAATGAAAGCTAGGAAGCACTGGAATACTGTTTCTTCCTAGTCTGAGACTCCTCAGTTGTGCGCATTGTCGTGAGCTTAAATCACGTAAATTTTACGATCTCCACAAAGCCATATATTGATAAAAGTCTGATTATTTCTAGTAATGTGGAAAAATTTAGATCTGCTATCAAATAAATCGCATGAAATTTGATACCGCGTTGGACTATCATCTTGTCTTAATACAATTAGTTCCGAAATTATCATTGTGGTTAATTCATTGCAGTTTTTTAAATTTTCAATCCAGTTTTAGCAATAAATCTACACTGTTGATAATATTTTCTATATGTTACCTGTCGTTGGATACATCGTAAGATGTCACATATTTTAATGAGCAAATTATGCTTGTAGGTTTGTGGAGCTAATTAAAATCAGTGTTTGGTATAGAGCTGGACATAGAGATGAGTACTGCCGACTGTATTAGTACAAACCATATAATATTTAGAAAAATTAATGAGTATACGGAGGATTAATAGCAATGAAAACAAGACCGATTGACTCTGCCAAATAGTTATGACGGGCGGTTTCTAAAATTTGATACTGGTACACAGTGTGGTACGCGCTATCCCCATAACTGACTACTTGAGTCAGAACATAAGAGTGAGTGAGAAAGCGTATTGGACTACCAAACAAAGTGCACAAATACTCATTCATATATATATATATATATATATATATATATATATACCACTTTGATTGGCCCTCCATTTCAAGGTATTCTTTGTCATCAGTTTACAAAAGAAATTACTCAAAAATAAACAAATAAATATAGAGAATATAAGTTTACATTTAATCAGCACACAGTAAATGAGAAATCTTATTGGCAACAATGCACAAAATTATTTAAAAACACTTTCGCTAGGTAAAAACCGCAAGTGGTTAACCATTAAATACTAGCTTAATGACAAAAAGCTTATCATATAACTTCCTGTGTTTGGTACAGTGTACGGATATAGGTAGGTGTTGCCATGGAGTATCAAAAACTACGACAAAAACTAAAAATCATTAGTCTTCAATAGTTATCTAAGTTCTGCCTAAAATATTTCTACAGGCCAATCAAGTAAACGAATGTCTATGTCGACAGATAAGTTTTACAATGGATAAGACACATCGAAGAATCTTCACCAAATGCCAAATAAGAGAAAATCATGAAGAAAATCGAGTCTTTCAAGTTTGGATCGTAAATACGCACTGCTGAGGAGTCCCGCAATAGGATGAAACGGCCGTCCATTGCTTTCAGGTCTTCCATGGTGGTCTTGCTTTAATTGACTCATGATCTCAACTATTGAAATATTTATTTCTCAAGAGAGTGGCTAACACCAAACTATCATTAAAAGATGATAAACAATTAATGACGATATTTTCCAGAGATTCCTAACTTCATAACATATAAATATGAGGAGATCAATATTTAATGCCTGTTGAATGTACTTTATTTTAATCAGAAATGTTTGTTTGTTTGATTGTTTTTTTTTGTCTACTACATATGAAATGAGATAATTATTCATAATCTTTTTTCATTTACAAATAGATTTTGTTGTTACAGACAGAAAATATATCGATTTTATTGTTCCTATTTAACATAAATATGAATCATTTTAAACTATCCTACCTAAAATACACATACATCAATGTAATCCATTAAACTTGTTGTATGAAATTCACTATTTGAACAAATAGTTAATGAAATTATTCAGAAGAATAAGTTAAATCAAAAGAGTTCGACCAGGTCTGTTGTGAGATTGCAATTCACTGAAGACAATGGTAAATATGTCGCTCAATTTCGTAGATTGGTTGAAGTTAGACATTATTACCGTTGGATGCCGGGCAAATCAGTGGTCTAGTGGGTAAGCGCTTGCGCGCGAGACTGATAGGTCCTGGGTTCGAGTCTCGGGAGGCAGGATCGTGGATGTGCACTTCTAGGGAGTCCCGCAATAGGACGAGACGACCGTCCAGTGCTTCCAGTGGTTTAGACTCATCCATTTTTAAAATAACCTACCTGATTTCGGTGAATATCAGTTAAATAACATGTTATTTTGTTGCGTAGGACAAAATCATTTACAATAATAGAGTAAGTGTAACTATTCCGTAAAATATATTTCACAGAATGTTATTTCATCATATTCAATCGGTAGATTAATAAATTTTGATTTTTTTTCAAAAAAAAGTAGTATGTAATTATAAGTAATAACGTTGTTATTAATTTTAAGTCGTTTGATAATTAATGATAGTTGATTTTCTTCAAACTAACTATAAGTGATTCCACATTATTTTGTTTAGTTTAGTTTAACCATAATCAACAGATGAATTGTCCGTGGTCTAGTTAATCAATCAGTAGACAAAATGATGTCGATAAGATAAAAAAGACGATTCACTGAATCAAATTTTCTTTTAGATAATATTATTTGCCCAAACTGTACAAACTGCACCAGTTCCCTCGAAGATTACAGGTACACCTTGCTGACGAGTGCTAAGTAGCACGAAACCTGGGTCCAGGGTTTCCTGTCGACTACCTCCAATCACCATCTAAGGGTAGAGTTTAATTTGTAAGATGATAGTGTGAATTGTAATTAAGATCAGACTGACTAGCTAGGATAGATAGTCCAAGTAGGATGGATGGTAAGGCCTTCTTTTCTATTGAGAGAAGTAGGATTAA